ATGGGTACAACACATTGGCCGACTCCGTGAACTCTTCAATCGTCTAGCAGAGTTCAACTTCACCGGAAACCTACCCAAAAGTGAATTCGGACATGCCACTTTAATCTTCCTTGGTAATGTCATTGGACAAAGGAAAATTGCTCCAATTGATGCCAAGGTTGTCAATATTCTCATTCTACCCGCACCTCACAATCGAAAGGCTCTCAGAAGATTTCTCGGGATGGTTGGATTCTACCGGAGGTTTTGTCAATTTTTGCCATGGTGGTCAGTCCAAAAAGAAAGTTTGTGTGGACTGATGAATACCAGACAGCATTCGAAAAGGTTCGTGGGTTGTTGGCAACGGCAACTGTACTACAACTCCCAGATTTTAAGAAACAATTTATGATACAATCGGATGCGTGTGACACAGGAGTTGGTGCTGTGTTAATGCAAAAAGGAAAAGATGGAATATTGCACCCGAACTGATATTTCTCGGCCAAACTGAAAAAGCATCAACGTGGATATGCCACAATAGAAAAAGAAGCATTGGCCCTTTTGTTAGCTCTGGAAAAGTTTGAGGTGTATGTAAGTGGATCACCTTACCCAGTGATAGTTTATACAGATCATAATCCACTTCAGTTTGTTCATAATATGAGAAATAAGAATCAAAGACTGTTACGGTGGTCATTAGCAACCCTATAATATAGAAATCAAACACATAAAGGGCTGTGATAATATTATTGCCGACACTCTCTCTCGTGTTGAGTACAAGTTTATTCAGAGCTTCTTAAGCATTTAAATTAAGGGGGGAGATGTTAAGAGTGAGCGTTCCATCGTTGGTTGTGGATTCGCAACGTGAACGTCTTTTGTTTGTGACGTCATTTCTGCCGCGTCCGCTCACTTTGTTTACTTTAGTATGGGCCCGGTAGTGTTTAGTTAAGTACAGAGTATCTCCTTTCTTATTGTACAGTATGTTACTAGTGGTATAACGTGTAAACCTTGCTCGACTTTCATAACACCAAGTAAAGTATTATTTGTGAAAGATTATTGTTAATCATATTTTGGAGTTCCACGGAAAATAACTTACTTATTTATGAGGTTTCGTGTGGTGCATAGACCACGTTGTTCATCGTAGTTTCTAGACTAAATAAGTCTTTACTTTTGTGTTCATTATTTTGTCACTCGGTTGAGTCATTTATTTGATCAGATTTAACTTGTATTTGTTTATTTTTGTACATACTGATATATTTATTTTATTGATTATTTGTTAATATATTCTGTTATTAAAACTACTGCATGTATTTCAATATACCCCATAGTAATGAGGTGATAATTTGGTGGGATCTATTCCTGGACCTATAGTACAATGTGTAATTTGTGAATTTGTGATATTGTTACACCCTTAAGAAGCCCAAGGGTCGTAACAAGGTGCCTCCTGTATGTAACTCATGTCTCACTGCCATATAGTAGGATGGGCAGGACCAGTGTTCGATATACATGGAGCTTTGTGGATAATTTCAGTTCCCTACAGCTGAAGACACGATTTCGGAGTCCGCCCAAGGGTTGAGATGCATATTTGATCCGATGCTGAATCTTTTCATCGATGTGAGAGCCGAGATACTGAAAGTGGGCAACATTAGAGAGTGTAGTACCGTTAAGCTGGATGGTGGAGGTGTGTCTGAACCAGGGGCAGGTTGAAAGAGAATCTCAGTCTTACGTGCATTCACCTCAAGGCCGAAGTGTGCATACGCATCTGCATAGATGTTCAGGATCTCCTGTAGGTCGTGTTCAGTGTAAGGAACAAGGGTGAGGTCGTCTGCATACTGAAGTTCAGTAATGGAAGCTGCCGACACCTTTGTTCTTGCCTGGAGTCGTCCTAACCCCTGTTTGGATGGGGAAGAACTCTGACTGGGTACCGTTGTGCAGGACACTGCCGTTCATGCCGTCGTGGAGTTACCTCACAATGACGATGAATTTTGATGGACAGCCAAAAAAGCCTGAGGGTCCACCAGAGGGCTACCCCGTTGACCGAGTCGAATGCCTTGGTTAGGTCGATGAAAGCCATGAACAGGTCAAGACGCTGGCGGGCAGCAAAGATCATGTCAGTGGTGCCACATGATGGTCTGTAACCACATTGAGGTTCTGGGAGGAAGTTTTCCGCCTCAGGAATAGGTCTGTTTAGGAGAACTCGGGGGATAATCTTGCCAGCTACGGAGAGCAGCGAGATCCCACGGTAGTTGCCAAAATCTGACCTGTCCCCCTTGTACTTATAAATATTGACAATGGAAGCATCTTTAAGAGCTTGGCGGATTTCCTCCTTTTCCCATATATTCTAAGGGGAGAGCGGAGACGGCTGGTAAGTAGAGGTCCTCCTGCTTTATACACCTCGGCTGGGATTCCATGAGGCCCTGAGGCCTTGTTATTTTTCATCTCTTTAATGGCAGTAGCTACATCATCCAGGGATGGAGGATAGTTGAGGTGGTTCAGCTCTGGATGCTGAGGTACCTGCTGGGGAGGCAGGACATCCACATCGGTGTTTTGGTTGAGCAATGGATGGTAATGCTCTTTCCAGTGCTGAAGGAGGCCTTAGTCTTCTTTAATTATGTGGTTACCGTCAGCTGGGCAAAGGGGGGCTGCCCCACCAGTGACTGGCTCATAAAATGTTTTAGTGGAAGTGAAAAATTCGCGCATCTTGTTTTGATCTGCAAGTTTTTGTGCCAGTCGTTCTTTAGATTGCAAAGTTCCCGCTGGGCTACCACTTTCTTCTTCAGGAAGGCATCAGCTTTGGTCTGAGACTGAGGGTTGTTCTGCCAGTCAGTAAAAGCAGCACGTTTATCATAGATGAGTACTTTGATTGCCGGGTCATTTTCATCAAACCAGTCCTGGTGAATTCTTTTGAACTGGCAGAGGGTCTCTCAGCAGGTCTTTGTCATAACAGTATTAAGAGTATCTCATTCAGCACTGGGATTCACATATTTTGCTGTTGGGTAGTTTATAATCCCATGTTCCAGCTGCTCTCTGAAAGCATATGCTACCACTGGATCCTCCAGACGCTTAGTATTAAAACCTCTTCTGGAGGCTTGCTTCCTTCGCCGTTTTGGGGCAACGTGAAATGAGAGCTTGGATCTGACAAGTCAATGATCAGTGTCACAGTGATCTGAGCCATGCATGGCACGGGTGATGAAGACATCTCGGCGATCTCTTTCTCTAACATTGATGTAGTCAATGAGATGCCAGTGTGTGGATCATGGGTGTTACCACGATCCCTTGAACTTGTCGGCCTACCTAAACAAGGTATTGGTGATAGTGAGGTTGTGAGCAGCACTCTTTGTTAGAAGGAGTAGGCCATTGGGATTATACTTGCCTAGTCCATTTCTCCCTATGATTCCCTGCACATTGTCTTCTCTGAGGATAGAGGTTAGCACTCTGTAGAGGTCAGCATAAATGGCCTCCTTTATGTCATCCTCTGCATCCAGTGTTGGGGCGTATGCACTGATGAAGAAGGCATGCCGTGAGTGATTTAGTGGGACTCGAAGCGTTATAAGGCGCTCGTTGATCACAATAGGCATTTCAGTTAGCCTGTGTAGGATGCGTTGACGGTTGGCAAAGCCAACTCCTTAAATAAGGTTTCTCTCCGCAGCAGGCATTCCCTTCCAGAAGAAGGTGTTGCCAGACCCCCGTTCTGTGAGTTGGCCCTCTCTGGGAGCCGGGACTCACTGATGGCTACGATGTCGATGTCATACCTAGCCAGCTCTTTTGCCATAAGGGCAGTTCTTCTTTCAGGATACACATTTGTGCCAGTGTCCAGCACGGATTCTGACATTATATGCAGCGGCCATAAGAGGTTGTATGGTTTGTTTTTGTTTTGATCTGTGATTTTGATTGTGTTTTCGACCGCATAAGGATGACCTTACTGGGTGTGGTTGCCCAGTCAGGTTGGGTTTTCAGGCATGCTATGTTTATGGCTCCATTTCTAGCCCCCTCCCCATGTGGGGTGAGCAGAGTTGCCTCCTCGAAAGGGCTGCTCAGTCGCACAGACAGGACCAGATTGCACTGCTGCCTAGATCCCAGTGCATAAATGACCATCTTATCTGTGCCGCCCATGTACAGAGTTGTGACTAGAGACTCCCAGCAGTCATATCTGCCTGTCCCCATCGCCACTCGTCCATCCCCATTGGGCTTTTCGGGGGTATAAGGGGTTTGATGATGATGAGTGGTATGATGAGCTGGGTGATGGTTGCGCGTGAGTTGATTTATGTGGTGAGGCAGGAGCACAGGCTGCAATCACACATCTTGGCTCACCCTTTTCCTGATCCAGTGGTGCAAGTGTTGCAACGACTGGGGAGAGGGAGTGTTGCAATGGACTGCCGATAGCCCAGTTTGTTGGGTTTCGCCTTAGTAGCCTGTCCATCAGGCACTGCCTTCGTCCACCAGTGTACTCGTTGGGTTTCCATGGTGGTCACCTCTTCCGCCTACACCGCCGTTGGGGTCTTGTTGGAGCTCTGTAAACATGTTTGCTTGATGCGGGGCTCCACCGCAGATTTTTCGTTCGGGGTTTACTCCCGTAGGCTTATTACCTTCCAAGGTTAATCCGCATGGAAGCGGGGAGGTGGTTGGTAGGCGCCAGGATGAGTCCACATGCCAGTGAGCCTATGCGCCATCCCTCTGGGGCCCACTGCTTCTATGGGTTCCACAGCTGATCTAGCCTGGGCCCACGAGGCACCCAGTTACCATGTGCTGTCACGAGGAGGCACAGCAGGAGTCTTGATGGTGAGGAGGCTGTGTACTGGCAGGGGAAGACTTATGCAGGTGTGATTTATTATGAACACCACCACTAACTGTACACTACTGGAACACTATTATGAACACCACCACTAACTGTACACTACTGGAACACTATTATGAACACCACCACTAACTGTACACTACTGGAACACTATTATGATCACCACCACTAACTGTACACTACTGGAACACTATTATGAACACCACCACTAACTGTACACTACTGGAACACTATTATGATCACTGTCACACCTGTCACCGTCACACCTACCACCGTCACACCTGCCATCGTCACACCTGCCACCGTCATACTTGTCATTGTTACACTTATCACCGTCACACCTGCCATCGTCACATCTGCCACCGTCACACCTGCAACCTTCACACCTGCCATCGTCACACCTGCCACAATGAGAGTTGGTACCGACACACCTGCCATCGTCACACTTGCCACCGTCACACCTGCCACCGTCCCACCTACACCGTCACACCTGCCACCGTCACACCGCAAACTGTCACACCTCCCACCGCCACATTTGCCACCGTCACACCTGCCACCATCACACCTGCCTCGTCACACCTACCACTGTCACACTTGCCACCGTCACACCTGCCACCGTCACACCTGCCACCGTGTCTCTTGTTACCGTCACACCTGCCATCGTCACACCTGCCACCGTCGCACTTACCATTGTTACACCTGTCACCGTCACTCCTGCCACTGTTATACATTCCACCGTCACGCCTGCCACCGCCACACCTGCCACCGTCACGACTGCCACCGTCACACCTGCCACCGTCACACCTACCACCGTCACACCTGCCACCGTCACACCTGCCACCTTCACACCTGCCATCGTCACACACAGCCACAATGAGAGTTGGTACCGTCACACCTGCCATCATCACACTTGCCACCGTCACACCTGACACCGTCCCACCTGCTACCGCCACACCTGCCACCGTCACACCTCCCACCGTCACACCTCCCATCGTCACATTTGCCACCGTCACACCACCACCATCACACCTGCCACCGTCACACCTGCTACCGTCACACCTGCCACCGTCACACTTGTTACCATCACAACTACCACCGTCACACTTGTTACCGTCACACCTGCCATCGTCACACCTGCCACCATAACACCTGCCACCGTCACATGGGCCACCGGAACACTTGTCACCGTTATACCTGCCACCGTCACACCTGCTACCCACTGTTACTTTAATACCGGTTTTTTATAGCCTGTGTCATGTGGACATATTTAGATATAATTTTTCCTTAGGTTACCTGAAGATTAGACACCCCAGTTTATTTCACCTGATGAATACACACCCTAATGCTACCTGGGATAGGTTAGGTTAGGTTAGGATTGGATTTGTTGGGTTGAATTGGGTTGGTTACCTTAGAGTTGTTAATCTTAAGGTATTAGAAGCTAGGGAGTTAATGTTCAAGTGATCCTTCTTCCGTTATACCAAAAAATAGTTTAACTCCCAAAATTAATTGTTGTGTTGTATGAAGTCGTGAGGTGGACGGAGACAGGGGTTCTCGCTTGCTCGCCATGTGTCAAAAACCAGGTTGCACTTGAGCTAAATGCAACGTTACGCCAAGTGTTGATTATTTTTCTAAGAAAGTGACTTTGACCTTTTGAACCTAAAAACATAGCAGGGACTGACATGTTCAGTGCGTGTATGAACACTGCACTAGTGCACTTCAGCTCTCAGGCACTGCTGTACATGTGTTTACACAGTTGATTAACCAGGTGGTGACTGCACTGGTCGTCTCGCTCACCTGCCCCATCAGCCTGCCCTAGATAATAAAATAAGGACTATAAATTGTTATGCATTTACCGGCATACACTACTTGTGTACCTCACTCGTCCTGGCATAATCACACCTGGCCAACATTAACTCGTATCTACAATTTGACCAATTTCTTTGTTGAGAAAGAGCGTCGACAGCTGAAGTTTATCCTTTTTGTAACAAACTTTCCTCAGCAGCAAATACTTTAATACTTCACGGGTCGTGGCTCAACAGCCTGACACTTTGTGTGATTTTATTCTTCAACAATATTTTGTGGAATCAGTTTTACCGCGGTCTGCCTGTAGGCGAGGTAAGTGACTGAAATGTTTTTGGTACTACAATGTATTCACTCTCACCTGACCTACAGTAGGTTAGAGAAGGTACAAAATTTTTCGCATGTCTGGTACAACACCGTGGTGCCGCCAACCATGAGCAATATGTCCATTAATAAATAAATTGTATTGTACTTAATTCTAACACCATATTATAGTTACTTTAGTTAACCCTAAATAGGCAAGGCGCAGTGTGGCGCAAAACAATTGCACGCACGCACACACACACGCGCACACACCCACCCTCACTATCACACGGTGTCTCCCGCTGCCCCATTTGGCGTGGTCTACTGCGACGTCTCCTTCTCAAAACCAGTCCCAGGACTCCCGTCTGCTCTGCCCCTGTCTTCTCATACGTCACAACATCATTTCTCTCCCCACGACTACACGACGACTGTTATCTGATTGGCTTCGCCTTCATCTTTTACTCTGTCCTTTACTATTCACCTCTGCATTATGAACATTTCTTTACCATATTTCTTGCTCTCCCTTCTCTCCACCTGACTATACTACCTGCGTGTGACACTCCTACAGTATTTCCCTGACGTCCTCATGGTGTCTCTTTCCTATACTCGGAACATAATACGCTCAACTGATCTCCGCCCAGTGATCACTTTTCACACCCGTACAACACTAACGACTCCTCTATTCCTTATAACCCCATCATTGTCTCCTTCGATACATTCCTCCCCCACATGGTTGTCAGAGCATCTACTGGTAAGACCTCCACCTGCTCCTCTGTGACTCAACCCTTCATTAACTGTTCCATTTACTGAGGCACCATATCCCTCCACAGATCATGATTATAAGGTGATTCGACTACAAGAATAGGGAACACCTTGCAGTCACCACTGGTTATAACATAAAGGGTGACTCAGCTGCGAGAGTAGCTAAAAGTAATAAAACCATTTATCACCGATGATCACCCCTCTCCCACCATTACCCCTCTCCCCTATCACCCCTCTCCCTCCATCACCCCTCTCCCTCCATCACCCTTCTCCCTCTTTCGCCCTTCTCCCTCCGTCACTCCTCTCCCCCTATCACCCTCCTTCCTTCGTCACCCCTCTCCCGCCTTACCTCTCTCCCTCTGTCTCCCCTCTCCCTCCGTCACCCCTCTCCCTCCATCACCCCTCTCCCGTCATTACCTCTTTCCCTCTGTCTCCCCTCTCCCTCCTTCACCCCTCTTCCCCTCACCCTTCTCCCCCCACTACCCCTCTCCCTCAGCCACCAGCCTCATCGACCCACCATATACTGTACACAGACCACTCAGAAAACAAAATATCTGATGACCAAGACATGGAAATCATCTTCAAATTTATAAGGAAAAACATTGTCCAGATCACACACGAAGAGAACAGAAGTGTTGACGATACCCACGAGGAGCTCATCCTCAGAGGACTTGGGGACCTTTCCCCAAAACTATGTGATAAGACCCTACAGTATGTGAGGACAACCCCATGACATTCCAATCACCTCGGAGGATCTCCATAAAATCATTACAAACATAAAAAAATAAATATCTTAGCTGCACCGGCATCACCAAGGAGATCCTCACCCATAAACAACCAAGCTATAGAGAGGCTGAGAACTATGATGAACACCTGTCCGGCCTCGGGATATTTCTCAACAAAATTCCAAGGGGGCGCCAACATCCGCTCCTCAAAGCAAGGGAAAAATTGGAGTAAATTAGAGACCGAGCTCCCTCCTTGTAATACCAGGTAAAATTCTAGAAAAACAAATAATTGTCTGAGGTTCCTGACCAACAGACCTAATTACAGATCATTTAGATTTAGGAAATGCATGTCGACCACAACCGCGATAGCCGTCACCAGTGAGAACAGAGGCAGAACAGCAGCTAATGGATGCTAGTGCAACCTAACTCTCCGTGATGTCACAAAGGCGTTTGATAAAGCGTGGCCTGATGGCTCGGATACAAAATCCTCTAATTAAAACTTACTGTCAATATAAAAAAAAATCACTGTGCAGCTTCATGGATGGCAGAAGTTCTAACCTTAAAGTGGGGCAGACCGTAGGAGTAACCTTCCCACTCATGAATGGTGGTGTCCCTCAAGGGAAGTGTCCTCTCCCCTACCCTATATACTGTATATTGTATGTATAGCTACACAAGTGAGTTTCTACTGCCAACAATAATATGAAAGAAAGATGATGTACGTGCAGATGACATTATTCAAATAACAACACACCGAGGTAAATTACGAGCATTGCAGGTCGATAGCAAGAGGGAAATAGAAAGCGTAAACAGCCTCGAAAAAAAAAAGAAATATCCAAACTAGTTTCCCTTAAAATCTCAGTAACCTCGCTGTGAAAAAAGGAAAACAACGCCCGGATAGAATATAAAAGCAGACACCCTTCTGAGCCTGAACAAATCCTCTACAGGCTACCCCAATCATGTCCTTACCAAGAGAATTGAAGAATTTATACGGTATATATAGCTTCAACGCCCTGACTGAGGAAATAAAACTCCGCCTGGTTAAATCGATCATTATATCGACCTTAACCTACGAGCAGTAACTTGACACACACTGAGCACTACCTAAATGCTGAAACTACAAGAGGTCCAGCACCAAGTACTTAAATCCATCACAGGCGAAGGTGTCCCTCTAATAAAACTACAGCTGAGCTAAACACAGACCTTCGAGTAAGACCCACAAGCCAGCAACCACACACCTTGGTTGGGAGAACATGGCAAAAAGTAAAGTGATCTGATCAAGAACTCCTTGTAAGAGTCCCACCAGAAAATTGAAACAGATATCGATGGTTCCCAAAAAGCTACCAAGATACAGGGATTTAACAGGTCGGCAACAGACAACCTCTTTTGACCAAAGCCGCTAGTAAGGCCGACGGAATATAAAATATGACTCCAAGACCATTGGACATGAAACAGGGAATGCTACCTGGTGCCATGGCTACTAGTGTGGTCAGCCAAACAGATCAGAACCTCCTACAATAATTAACATTCGCCCAACGCTCACAGTATGTTCATACTCGGTGTAGTTAGTCAGGGGGCACCTCAAAGCACTTGAAAACTTTCACCAACGTAGTCTACGTTCCATCCTCCGAGTTCGCTGGGAAAACAAGAAAACAAATGCCAGAGCTCTTGCTGACACCAATTGTAGGAGCATCGAGGCTACAATTATCTATGAACAACTACGCTGGACTGGCCATGTTATCTGCATGGACGACAGTAGAATGCCAAAGCAGCTACTTTACAGTCATCTAACGAAAAGGAAACCTAACCCCGACGGGCAACTGAAAAGGGATAAGGATAGTCTTAAAACAAACCTGAAAAAGTGCAAAATCGACCCCCCTCACCTGGGAGACGATTACTCTACATGGTAACGTTTGTAGGAGCACCAAACGAGAAGGTGTCAATACTTTCGATTTAGCCCGACTGCAAACCGAGGCAGACATGCGCCGGAGAGACGCTGCCACCGCCCCTCCCACACTCGATGTAGCCTTCCGCATGTGCAACATCTGTGAACAACTCTGCCGGTCCCGTATCGGCCTCTTTAGTCACCTCAAAACTCACCAGTGAAGGTGACTTCCTTAATAACTCATATCATTGTATCACATTTGGATGATCGTCCATTACGACAGAACGACAGCATGGCCAAATTGATAAGTTGCAGCAACTGTTGCTGCAAGTACAAGAGAATTTGAAAAAAAAGTAGCAATAGCGCAGGAGGTGGGCGCCTCAAACTGGTTAACTACGTTACCGA